TTTCCCCCCCCCCCCCCCCCCCCCCCCCCGCTTCTTGAGTTTCTTAAGACTATAGTTTTAAAAGACTGGTTCTGAATCAGAGACAAGGAAGGTGCTGGTGAACTCCAAGAGTCAGCTGGTACACAGGAACCTCACTCTCTCAAAGCACCCCTTGGGCCCCCCCCCAAGCTTACCACCTATTAAGGACAAAGCCCTGGGCCCTGTGCTGCCTACCGTAATGTTCTTAATGATCTGCTGCACGAGGATGGCGTTGGTCAGCATGTGCGTCCTCAAAGGAACGTGCTGAAGCAGCAGGCGGAGCAACTGGCCCACAACAGGCAGTTCTTCAGGAGAAGCTCGGCTCACTCGAAGACTCTGCAGCATCAACCTGAGGACTCGAGGCAGGAGAGCCAGAATGGAAACACAAACGCCCCATAGCTTGTCCCTATAACAATAGAAAGAAAAATGAGTCCGTGAGCCAATACACAAGAGAAAATGTCCTTTCCACGTTACCCAAAACTGAAAAGGACTTCCAAGAAACACAATGTTCCCAGCATGATCTGACAGTTCAATGCCTATAATTCTAGCTTTTAGGAGCTGAGCAGAAATGTCACTGAGTTTGAGTCCAGCCTAGGCTATATAATGAGTTCAAGGATAGCCTGGACTACAGAGATCTTATCTCAATAAAAAACACTAACAAACAAGCTTCATATTAAATACCACAAACTCCAACTTGTAAGAATTGGGTTTCATCAGAACTAAGTAAGAAAAAGCAACTAAGAGTTAGCTGCTAGAAAGTCTGGTAAGCAGCATATTCCTGGGCTTAAAACCAGACACCCTAGAAGCCACGGTGATCTTATATAGCACAGAACTTGCCAGAAAACAAAGATCTACACATGTACAATCATTGCCTAACACTGGATACTACTCAATCACCACACAGTGGAGAAGACATCTGAAGACTACTGTACCCAAATAAGAAAAGAAATACATACAGCAAACCTTAAGCCTGAGACTTGGCTCCAGGGTCTGGTCAGTATCACAGAACAAAGGGCTGATTTTCAGAGAAAAAAATGTTCACCAAAACCCCAAATAGACTTCAGAGAATAACCAATAATGGGACCATCCCCACAACATTGGGTCACAAAAGGTGAGACATGGTCATGTCTAGTCCTCAAACATCGTTCTCTTGATATATTCATAGAGCAGGAGCTAAAAAGGCTTATGATAAATACGATCTATGAGTGTACTTAAATGACACAATATCCATCTGGATGGTGAGTATGGGGACTTTGGGGAGCAAGTGAAATCTTGAGTGAATGAATATGTATAGTTTGGGCACTGCCATATCTAGAACCACAATGCCTCAGTTCCATGGGACTGGCAAAGCCTTCCCCAGGTGTGGCTCAGAGGGATGATAAAGCCTTCCTTGGGTAGAATGCAAATGCTGACAGTATAAACAGAAAATGTTCACTGTAGCTCCTCCCCCATTCCCTTCTCCCAAAGATGTTTATGGCCTGTGGACTCCTCCCCTACAATTTTACCTAAACCCCTCTCTTACTCATCTGTATGCAAACCCCTGCCTACCCTGTTCAACTGTATACAATAAACATGCCGAGCTTACAGGGTGGTGCAGCTTCTCCATCTGAGAATTGGCCTACCAGATCCCAGCTTTTCTCTACATGTGCCTGTGGTTCTTCAGTCCCCTCATTGCCCTGGTTTAGGTCAATCCCTGGAGCTGTGCAACAGGGACTGCTAAAGGCTCCAACCTTCCTAGCTCTTTGACTATGAGCAAGCCCCTGGACTTCACTTAAAGGACCTGCATGTGAGATACACATTGAATCCATTTTAAACCAACAAGGTCTTTAAGTGGCCCTCTTACTGACACAGAAGCAGATGTGGACAGCCATATACAAGAAAAATTTCAGGCTCTTGAACAGCTTAATAAGGCAAAGGCATAAAGACTATAAAAATTCAGGTGAAGAGAAAGGAGGAAGCTGCTTTGGTTCTAGATAGATTTTCTTAATACCTAGCCCTTGGGTCATTTGACAGTGTGGCTGCATTCTGAGAAAGGTATTATTAGATGATTTCATCGTGTGAACTCCATAGTACACAGCTTCCTAATATATCAAGAGATACAGTAAGCACAAGATATGAAGTATTAGGTATTATACATAAATATACATGCTATATTTTAACATTCTATTTGGCTTTAAAGTTTATGTGTCACTATGCCCTAAAATTCACTAAGCCATGCTGGCCTCAAACTTGTAGCAATCTTACCCCTGCCTAACAGTGCTGGGATTATAGTTATGCACCCCATGCCTGGCTGAACAACTAGCAGCACCAACACAAACATGAATAACAAGTACAATATTCCGATGACTACAAAGCCACTGTGTAATGCTCATCTTTCAGTTCCATTACAGTCTTCTGTTTAACAGTCCTCACTGGCTGAGGCATTTCTAGCACATGACTGCTCACTTCATACTTGTTAGCTTAAGTGAATTTAAAATCACTTTCAGTGTCTCAACAAATGCTTCAAACCCTAGGTGTGGGAGGCAAGGAATCTGAACCAGACTCCATATATAAATAAGGTGGGAAACAAGAAAAAGGAAAATGTGAACTAACTATCCTGCAAGGAGGTAGGTGACTATAAACTCCAAAAAATACATACTAAGAAAAGTAGACAACCCAAGACACAGAATTTTCTCAGTCCTATAAAAGCCAATCTTCAGAGTTCCTCTTACTCTCCATGTAAGAAAAATTTTCTTCCCCAGAAGGAAAGACAATTGATGAACTGACAGGAACTTATCAGCAACCACAAGCCAAGAATGTCAAAACAGAAGAAAAACAAACAAGGAAAACCTGGCCAAGTAAATGCTCAATGAGAGGGTTAACTCAAAAAAATTAGACACTTAGCTATGGTAAAACAAATCCCGATTTACAACACAACAGTTTTTTAAAGAGAAAACAAAGACTTACACTTCTATCTACAAACCCAATGATTAGGTCAGCAGCATATTTTCATTAATAAAAAGTACCAAGTAAACAAAAGAACAGCATCTTCAGGGCTCAGTGGCACATTGTGATATAAACCTGGTCAAGCCTGACCTTTGGGCTAACATCTGTGATATCAAAGATCTCTGTGAGTCTGAGACCAGCCTGGTCTATACAGCCAGTTCCAGGCCAGGAGGGCACAAAGACAGACTTCTAAAACCAAACAAAGAGGCGCTTTTAAAAGGGAAAACAAGAGTTACATACTTTGTCCAGTCTAGTCACATAAAGTCAAAGATGTTCTTTTATTTAAAAGCTCCAAAGGTCTTATACCTCAAGTGACAGAAAATAACAAATAGCAGTATAAAATCTTAAGTGGAGATGTTATAAAACCTTAGATAATATCAAAAATGTAAAATAAGTACAAATAGTATAATGGACAAGCTCTGACATATTCATAGAATACAATATTATGGACCAAAGTAACTGCACAGCAGGCCAACCCCAGACCACAGCCTGTATTTGTAAGCCATGTTCTATTGGAAACAGCTACATTCATTTATTTGTATTTTCTACTGCTGCTTTCACAATATACAGAAGTGTTGAATACCTATGGCAGACAGCTTATAGTCCTGAAAACTTGAACTGTTTACTGTCTAACCCATTAAGGAACTTTGCTGATCTTTGCCTTGGTACAGATAAATATAAGTGAGTAAAATAGAACTAAATGAATCAACACAAAGGAATCACAGATAATACTGATGCCAAAAACAAAAAGAGCAGGATCATCCTTACCAAGTTCACAAATATGAAAAACAGAAATAATACTGTTGACAAATATACACAGAACCATCTACTTAAAAAGTCAGAATACCAATCAACACTAAAGTGACGAGATATAAGAACTCCAGTG